TCTACAATTGTAACTTACCGTATAAAGCAGTCAATGCAATAGTGACTTTATGGAATTTTTATAGCTGAAAACAAATCCGCAATAAAATTTATCGTCACATTTTTGAACTATTTTATTCAATACTATCATTTTAAATCCGACTCAATTTTCGTTCAATTTTCTTAAAAATGTAACATAATAGAACAATTTCATTTATATACAGATATTTATTCAAACAAAAAATTTATAAGAATCACGTTGTCTGAAGTGGTTTAAAAAACAAGTTTAAATTTATTAAATAGTTATATTAGTAACAGTAATTGTTCTATATAAAAATAATTTAATATTATAAAATAATATTATAACTTACAAGAGTAAGTCTTTTTTTATATATAATTTTCAAAATATTTGGATTTTTCAAAATATTACTCTGACATTTGAACTACATTATACATAAAATTTTTTTTATTTTTTATATGTATTTTATATGTATTTTTATATGTATTTTATATGTATGTATGTGAATATTTAAAAATGTTCTAAATGTGCGCATCAGTATTACAGAAATTTTCAAATAAACGAAATTCTTTCTGATATATAATGAAATACATATATGTAGCATGAATTGCGCAATAAAGGCGATATCGAAGTTTCAGGGACATATACAGAAACGACATAGTGAACCATATAAGACCATGTCCATGAAGGACATTTGCAGCGATTGCTCACCACTCGAGTTTTGTTCTATGTCATTGAGAATATTGAATAATCTTTAAAAGTATCCAAATATACGATAGCATGTAATAATGGCATATTTAAAGTAAGCATGTTTAATGCACTAATCAATAAAAATGATATATGAATAGTTATAATTACAGTTTTTTCATAATCTTCAAATTTCTATTCTTATTTTCTTTATTACAAAATAATTTTTTAGAATTTGAAATAGCCCCAATACTCCGAATATTATTTTTTGTAAAATTATAAATAATATTTATTTTATTAATTATTATTAAATATTATTTTTTCTTATTAACATTATAAAATTAACTTAAAACAGAAAACATTTTAGTTAAAAGTGATTTAAAAAACAAATATTTTTTACTTTTATTTTCATTGAAATTAAATGTGGATATACATAAATTGATACAAACATAGCAATATTGTATAATATTAGATTATTCTGCTCTTACATATTAATGATATATTCAAATATGATGATAATATGATGATTCGAAGAATATTATATAATTTAATAAGCTTACAATGTATATATTCTATAATGATTTATTCTCAATGACACACAGATTGTATGATATTATCGAGTTAGTCATTTCAGCTATGCCGAATTATATCATCGCTATTGATGTAAAGAAAACACATGCTTTTAAGGAAATACATAATTGTATATTGCAAAATGCATATTTAAGATAGTTATTTATAAATATTTTACAAAATATTTGATGTTAAGATATGTCAAAATAAAAATATAATAAAAGTATAAAATAAGATTTCTAAATTTTTAAATATAATTTTTTAACAAAGATAATTTTTTACAGAAAATTAAGAATCAATTAATTAAAAAATATGAGATTTTATTTCAAAAATGAAGTTGATGTAAATTTTTCTGACATGGTTCTATTTATAAAAAAAAATACATATTAGTTATAGTTGTAATTTTTTCAAAATTACGCAGCTTTTGTAAAATTCTACATATAATATATAATTTATAATTTCTACATATTTCTACATATAATGTATAATTTAAAAATTATTTAAGATAGTTGAGTTAAGTGGAATATCCTGTATATCTAAATGAGATCATATTTAATATATATTTATGACAAAACGCAATTGTGTATATATATATGTTGACTACATTTGCATATTCATATCAAAGTAACAATGTAAGATACTATGTATCAATATATAACATTTCATTAACTAAATAAGGGAATGAAAGTAAAATAGCGATCGTAAGAATACATACAAACAACACAAATGTACATCATGTTTTCACTAAAATTGGAAGAAAAGAGGAGACATTGGAAACATCCGTAAATGCGTTTAAAAATAAATTTAGAAAGCAAACTATTTTTGTAAAGAAAGATTTTATTTTTTCTTTACACGATTTTATCAAAATTTATAATAAATAAATGATAATTAATAAAAAATAAAGTAAGTGATAATTAATAAACCGAAACAATAATTAATTAAAAATAAAAATTAATTTACTAATTCATTATAATTGTAACTAATTTATTGTTTATAAATTACAAGAAAAAATATGTTATAAAATAATATACGGAGAAGATAAACAGTACAAGTTACAAATTATTACTCTTATTACCATGATCCTATAACTATATCATTTTAATAAAATAAAAATTATAAAATTGTTACATATTATTTATGTTACGTATTTATTTGCCATTACTATACTAAATTATATTAATTGATAAAAATACATATTTTTACTGTAGTTACATTAAACAATTTAAAAAAAGGAAAAATAAAAAGTTATCAAATGTTTTTTTTATTTTAATAAAATGTACTGTCTTTCAATGTAATTTTATTTATTTTTTGTGTAGTCTTCATACGTTATATGTGAAATAATAATTCTAGTTAAGTAAGAAAATATTCATTTTTTAAACAATAATTTAAGCCGTATATGTTTTTAAAACAAGACGATAGCATTAAATGGCAAACAGGATCTTTCTGCCTCATTTTTTAATTAACATATAACAATCTGATTTTATAACTAGCAATTTAACTAAATAAGCATATATATAAAACAATATATATATATATATATATATATATATATATATATATATATATATATATATATATATATATAAGACATTATAATAATAATATATAATTAATTTATAAATATATATGTGTACATATATATGTGTATATAAAAGACATCCTTTCTTATGATAACATTTTTAAATATTATTATCAACATTAACTTTTAAATACTTGCAGAAATATTATTTGCAGACTACAAGCAATCTCTATGTTGACTCATATTTAAATTTTAATATAAAAATTATTATGAATATAAACATTTATTACAATAATGTATAACATTAAATATAATTCAATTATTATTTCACAAATCTATTATCAAAGTAAAAGTTTATAAACATATATTCATGAAATCAATATAAATTATAAATTTATCTTATTTGTTATGTTTCAATTGTTTAAACATAATTTGAGATTTTAAGATATTGAATATTTTTCTGATATATCTATAAATTTATAAATATTTTAAATAATTTTAAATTATATTTTAAATTTATTAATAATTATCATGAATGGTACTAATTTCCAGCATAACTAAAGATATAACACATAATATTTAATAATAAAACATCTAATATCTAATTCAATAATAATTTTAATAAGTTTTTACATAAAAAATGTCATCAATTATATTTTAACATTAATTTGTTTTAAAATAATGATACTGAATTTATATTTTAATTTCTTTTGGCAAAATTTTATGCAAAGTTGTCATGCATTCATGTAATTTTCACATATAATCATCGCAAAGCATATCAAATCATTGATAATTTTACTTACTCCAAAAAATCCGCAAATAAAGTAAAAATATCGTTAACAAGAAATAAGTATGAAATATGATGTTCTCTCCGTAAATTGATTACACTTGATTATTAACACTTGGCACTACGTACAGGCGCACACTTGAGGCATGTCGACTTATGACTAAAGAATAAACGTCAAAGTATCATATACCTGTTCCCTAGATTCACGTTCCCCACCTTTCGCGGATTGCAGTTCAATTGGGAGAATCTAAAACGCAAGCGCAGGCAGTGCTTCACGCAAAGCTATATGTTGCAAATAATATACAGGGTCAAAAGTATGGAAATAGTTAAATAACTCATCAGGGATGCATTTTAGAAAAAAAATATTACAAGAGAAGTTGTAAAGTTTCAAAGGTCTATTTATCGATCTTATCAGTTTGACCTTGAGTCGCGTTGCCAAAATTAACTTTGTTTTTTTAAATGAAACTTCCATTTTTTATTACATATTCTTATAGCTTATCTCGAGAGCTGTCCAAAACAGTATAATAATATTTTTTTAATAAGCACTTTTTGAACTATAAGGCTTGAACTTGATAAACAATTTGAAATAAAGTATAAAATCTCGTAAACTATTCATCTTTTGACAATTACATCTTAATACTTTTATGTACAGAATAATGAGATGAATCAATTGATGTAAGAAAATTAAAATTTTTCCGTCGCCATTTTGAAAATTTTTATTTTTAATTGTATGGACTTCATATTCAGTATTTATATATGTTCATTTAAAATTAAGATTTTGGCATGGGTATGACTTTGAAATTCCAAAAATATTTTCAAGGTTACTCTTCATTTTCTTATTTTTATGTTCTATAGACCTAGAGGATCGTAAATAACGCAACTTTATACTTTAATTTTAAAATTTTTCTGTCGCCATTTTGAAAATTTTTATTTTTAATTGTATGGACTTCATATTCAGTATTTATATAATGACGCATAAACATCACACTCCGAAACGAACTATGACTAATTATCAAACTCGCCGCGAAACTCAATGATATCGTCAACCGCCAATCGGACACGAAAAAGATCAAATATGCTATCTCGCTCGTTCTTTCATTCTCTATCCTATTTACTCTCATTGTGCGTATTATAGAAGAAAAAAAATCTCAACTATAAAAATGTCGAGACGCGCTTTTCGAATATAGAAAGATGGTTAATACTACAAAATGTCTAATACCACTATAAAATTACTTTTTTAAAAAAAGGTAAAAAAGAGTCAAGTATAATGGATACTTGAAAAGAAAAAAGAAACTGTTTTTAACCAAATTAAAAAATACAATCTAATTGACAATATCTTTTATTTTTATTTTTTTACCTATGTGGTAGTAGTTTAAATTCTATAAAAAAAAAGTTATGTTACGAAATTGCCATATCTAATGCAATTCTAGTTGTGATAAAACTAAAAAATAAAATCTAAGTGCTAGTATTTAAAAAAACAAAAAATTTGTTTCCACATTGCCAACTCAACTCAAATGATATCATTTGTATAAAAGATTTGATATCAATGGTACCAAGTTATAATCCAATCTTCCTACTCTCATTTAAATTATACTAGCCTTAATTCTTCAAAAAGGAAAATTTCATTTCCACATTGCTCAAATGATTGTAATGTGTAAAATTTGTATAAAAGATTTGATATCAATAATTGGCGCCAAGTTATAGTTCTATAAGCATTGAGCTACAAGTCCATCTTAGTCAAATTATATATTTTAATCGTATAAAAGATTTGATAAACCATTGTTTTAAAAAAATAAAACTGAAGTAGTAGTATCTTTAATTTAAAAATAATAAAAACTAAATTATATGTATATCTTTCTATCCATTTAAAACTTCTTTTTCTAACCCAAGTGATAGTAATTATTTAGCTGTTAAATATTATTATATTACAAAATTGCTTTATTCAATCTACATTTTTATCACAAAGAATTGAAAAGTAATAATATAAAATAAATGATAAAACTGTATTTAAATAAAAAAATTTTTATATAATTTTATTTAAATAAAAAAAATTGTATGTAAAAACATTTGGCGCTGCTCAGACCAAATGAAAATGTAAAACTAATAATGAAATTATTTGAATGTTATAAATAAAGGCAAGATTTATTATTGATATTATTATTAATAAAATTTTTTTATTTAAATAAAATTTTGCGGAACGAGTTGGAACTGTAATTCCATCAATTTTGCGGCCACAACTCCGGAGGAGTGAGCTGATTCGTTGTCGTGGAAAAGGATTTTCTTGTGGTTCAATCGTGAATATTTTTCTTGCAGTTCGGTTTTCAAATAGTCCAATAACAATGAATAATATTTGTTACGTCCTGCGTACTCCACAATTCCTCTGTTTCGAACGATTTAGAAGGGCTTCAAAATATCTCGAAAAATTCGTTTCTCGGCGAAAATTATATTGCCCAGTAAACGTTTTTTCTCTTCCTTAAATAAAGTCTCGGTGTCAACAGGAAAGCCTAATGTTGCGACGGAATAGCGGCTAAAATCATATCACAAGACGCCGCCTCAGACGTATCTCAAAAAGACACATGTCGCGGCTCTCTTTGTATTCTTGCCCTTGTTTATATCGTCGAGCCTACGTTTCGCGGCTCGAGGAACTTCGCGACAAGGACAGAACGCCGCCACAGGATCGGGCTGTGATTGGCTGGATTGCAGCTCCCGATTTTGTTATATATATAAGCTCGCATCTGAATAAGATCAGGTCGAGTTTGACGAGCGTAGTACACGGATCCGTGCGATAAGAGATAGTAAAACGCGAGGCCGAGTCCTCATTCAGTTCTGCACCAGTGCGGCCGAGTCCTCATTCAGTTCTGTGTTAAGCGAGGCCGAATCCTCGATCCTTACCGTGTGAGAATAATATATTCAAAAATAGTATTCGGGGTAACCTCCCGTCTACATCGTGCCTGCAACGATTTGCGGGGCGCGACACCTAATAAAGATAGAAATTTCCCTAATGGGCCCATAAAACAGGGTAATAAACAATTAAAATCCATCACGTAACGGAAA